TGGGCTGGCAGCAAGCTGTGCATACCTCACAGGGCAAAGGTCTTGAACCAGCCGGTTTTCAGGGAGCAGATGCCACAGAGTCATTTTTCCCCGTGGATTTATAGAACACACTACCTAGCAAAACCTACAAGCCAGTATTTGGCGGTATGCTGTACAGCAATAGTGAGCTGCTCCATCAAGTCCTACTAAGGACACAGAGCAGGTCTGCCAGGGAGCAGGTATGTAGGTCTAGAGGATCTTGGCCTCTCCTGCCTATGGAAGCACTAGATCTAGCCTAGGAAAAGAAAGGATGCTGACAGAAGCTTGTAAGCAGTAATTTAGAGTTGCACACCCTCCATAGAAGCTATCAACCCACACTACACACTGGTCCAGTGTCTCCAGAGAAGTGCATGTAAGGAGTTACAGAGAAGTGGCTTGTGTATAGGAGCTGTTTTCCCTCAGTTAACCTATACATGCCAAATGCTGCAAGACTGATGTCACTGTGAGGTTTTTCACAACGATAGCAGAAGTGCTGTTTGACACAGGCCAAGGGGCTGTGACAGTCCTTCTGAGGCTACATTTCTGTCCCACCAAGAAAGGACTAAAGTTAATCTAGAGAGGTGACTGAAAACAGCGATTTCAAGGTCCGTAACAGTTCTGAGAATTAATATCAAATTCAGTTTCCTACTGACAAATATACTCACAGCCATATTTAAGATTGCTCTAGGTAACACCAGCTGCAGAACTAAGGAGGAGTGAGCTTGAGCTTGCTACTGGCAACTTCCCTCTTGACTGCATCTCAAAAGCATTGTGCATATGCACAAGCTGCACAGTTACCTTTCTATACCTGATGCACAAGGCATCAGAGGCAAATCACACCAAACTTGTCTAAAGACACATTTGTTAAAAGGATACTCATCACAACAGCATATTTTTGAAGAGACCTGAACTCTTCACTTGCTATTACTAACAGATTTCCTGTTACATAATATCACACCTATGTATTGATTGCATTAGTCTGCTTTTTACCTTTTCGTATACCTGGAGAAAAATCTATTTGCAGTTCCTTTACTGTTTAGATCCTGTAAGTTTGTAAGAGAAAAAACAAACAGCTAGATAAACTAATCTAAAACAAACTATTACCGATTTTAGTAATGTGCCAAACTGAAATGCTGTTGTGAACAACTTAATTTAGCAAAAACCTTTAAATAGCAAACTGGGGATAAAAAAAGCTGGAAGTGTCCTTCATTGGGAATATTAAATTATAGTGCCCCCCCAGCTCCACACACAATTGCTGCTTAGATATTTCATACAAAGATCCCCATTGTTTAAGCAGGAACATGGGTTCCTTACTAATCTCTCACTGAATTCAATCTCTACCAGAGTAATAGGTTGCAACCCGTTAGCCTGCTAATAGACTATTAGCAATATTAAAATAATTTTAAATAAGGCCATTGGACACTAGGTTGATAATTAAATAACTCAGAATAAATGTTACATTGACATTCCTAAGTTGAGGAAAAACCATAATCATTCTGGGCTGCAAAGCAGAGACTGAATACATAGGGCTGAGTAAATAGACAGAATTAAAAGTGTCATTAAACACATTATCTACATTAATTTATCTATATCAATATGAGGTACAGTAATTGGTATCAAAATGCCTCCATTCGCCTTGTTCCCCACGTAGGTGGCTTCTGCAGGCTGCTTTCCCTTACTGCTTGCAACATTGTGCAAATATCAGAGAGAAAGTGAAGCTGTCAAGCACAGAGAGGTCTTGGAAAGACAGCCTTTCCCAGGCACCTTCTACAGGTGAAGCAAAGAGTGGGGAACAAGGAAAGCACGGAAAGGGAAAATGACAATTGTGAAATAATGTGCTGAAGCGAGATTTTTCTCTTGCTCACTTTCTCTGACCCAGGAACAGCAGGGAGGGGAGGGAGAGGGGAACTTCACCTGTGAGTCATCTAATAGCTTAAAATTTATTGCATTCATTGCATAAATTTCCAAAGGCAATGTATTAATAGAAAAGTCCAGAAATTAAATGATAGAACTTCAGTTTGCAAAGCATCTGCTGGGGAAAGGGAAGAAGAGACAAACGCTTAAGCATGTGCCTATCACAATGGCCACTCCTGACTGATTTCTCTTTGTAGTCGAGCATACTGCAAGATGTTAAATAATTAAACTAATATTCTTGTATCCCAGATGCCAACAAATGACAACACGAGATTCATTCTTCAGACTTCTGGACGCTGTGCATGCATTGTACAACACACACTTTTCAAACTGATTAAACAAACTGTAAATGAGATCATGTCACCAAGATGACCCAACATATGTCTATAGAAGCAATTACTTACCCAACCTGGGCATAACTGCCCCCAGGAACTGTTCATCTTCTTGAAAATGGTTTTCTTGTAGAGATTCGAGCAGTTTCTGTAAGACATCCTGTGGCACCTTGCAGCCCGTGCCTTTCAGTTCAGTGAATCGGGTCAGCCGGAAGTTCTTGTCCAGTTCGTAACTTTCTGGGTTAAATGACTCCCGCACAGACATGGTTCTCTCTCACACACTGCTGGCCTTTCCTACCCCAGAGCTACGGGATCAATTTCTCTACTGATCAGTCTAATTAGAAATAGAAATGAGAATTGGGAATGTTAGAAATTCCTAGGACCTGCAAGACAACACATTTTCCACATGGAGCAAAGTTTAAAAGAAAGAGAAAGCACTCAATGTCATCGTTCACATGTTAAGACAGGTGGGCACATCTCACACAACTTGTTTCTCTAAGACTACAAAGGAATGACTCTTCATACCTTCCAACATTTAAAACTCTGCCTATGCCAGGAGGATCAGAGTGCATTGCTTTTCCAGATATGCCGCATAAGTTTTTCATTTTAAAAAGAATTTAACACACTTACTGCCCTCATTTAACAAAGAGGTAATGAAAGAAGTAATAGTTCCCAGAGCACCAAGGCCAATTTCCAAAAGGCAACCTGGACCCTGATCCTGCAACACACTCAGCAGACATATGTTTGTACTCAGCTCAGTGCAGGGTCATAATTTTAGACATTAACATATTAATCTCAAAAATAAGATGCTTTTCAAATGATGGCTTGGATTCAGTTCTGATGCAAGAAGCTGAAACTCCGTAATACACCTGTTCTCTTTGGGGGAAAGGACAGTCCCAGTGTTCTGTTAATACAAGTAACGGAAGAACAAAGAGGCTGTATTTAAGCAGACTGGTTTACCTACAAACATGCCAGTTCACCTCTTAGCACGCTTGCAGACATTAAAACATTGAAAAGTTTCTTGCTTCTCGAGCCCTTTTTCTAGGGCTGAGAATAGAGAATTGCCCATTAAAACGGTAATGTAAAAAGACACTGATGCAACTCATTTAATAAAATTCTTAACAATGCATGGCTAATTTTAGAACGTTTTTCCACTCTGACTCACATACACCACACTCCAAAACTAATAAGAAGCCTAACCAAGCTACTGACTCCTAAACAGGAATGGCTGTGATAAAAAACATCTTTCCCAGAAAAGTTTTCAGGAATTACTAAAAACGACCTGCCTGCAGGAGTTTCTTAGAAAGCAGGGTCCTGCCTAACAACAAGCACAGGGCTCAGCAGCATCGCTGACAAAGTCTGATACTGATGGTCACATCGTTATGAGGTTAAGCTGAAAAGGAAAAGAAATGAATACAAGTGACTGGTATTCACTGAATTCAACTGCTTTAAATGTAAGAAGTAAATGTACACACTGTGCAACTGATTTCCACTGTACATCACTTGTAATAAGTGCATCTGTCCCATAAACCTTTAAGTCTACCGATTTATTGAATACACTTTGTCAGAATTGAAGTTTTAAGCTCCCTGAGAGCTTCTGATGTGGAGCTCGACTCCCCTTTGCGGTGCTTTCCCTCCTTCTCTGGGAGGTGTGGTGCTTATTTAAAACCAATCTTCCAAAGCCCAGGCACGGGCAGTAATCCAAACTCTAGCTAGAGGAACGTGTCTTGGATGAGCAATGAATTCAGCTCGTTGCTGTTGTCTTCCAGTGCAAGACACTAAACGCTTGCAATGAAAGAAAAGAAGATAGCGTCTGGAAAACAACCTGTCAACAGAAAAGGGAGACAAAAGCTTTTCAAGGAGGGGGATTTCCCACCCCCCTTCAGTGTTTTTTAACACTTCATTCTAATTAATTCCAGAAATGTATAAAAAGCAGCTTGCCCCACAAGGGAAACATTTCCCCCTCATCTATCTACTAATTGCAATATGCTTAGCACCCCCTACCTACTTACATAGGAAAGGATTCAGAGGCCACAGCCTACCAAGAACTTTTTGCAGCCTTGAGGACTGTAAAGAGACAGAGTTCCCCCCTTCGAAAACAAATACTGAAACAAACAAGACGAATTTATTCAATGGAAAACCTCCACAAGCGCACAATAACTTTTAAATGAAGATGTGAATAAACCTGCATGCAACTGTGTACTTCGGAGGCTACCATGGGAGCAACCTTTCCCACAAGACCAAGCTCCTTGTGACTCCTGTCAGTGTGCAAGCATGCAATTTCTGCGCGTTAGGCATCCCCCCCCCCCCCCCAGGAGAGGAAAGCACCTCGTAACCCAGATGTTTCTTACTTTAAAAGAACGGCATAATACTAAAAGCTAAAGCTTAACCCTTGCCTCCCTAAAGAGCAGAGAGAAGAGAGCACAGGGGGAAGAACGAGAAAGAACCGGAGCTCGGTACCTACCCAAAACAAACCCTAAAGCAAACAACAGCAACACAACCACCCGAGACCTACAGGGCGAGGAACTGCAACATCCATTTACCCACGGCATGCGGCGAGCAGCGCTGCGGGGAGGCATGGCTCAGGGACACCTTAAATTCCCAGCCGCTGCCTTTAAAGGCAACCCAGGGCCTTCACTCCACTGTTGCTCTTTGTGCAGCCGGCGAGGAGGAGGAGGAGGCGGCTGGGGGGGGTAGGAGGAAGAACGCAACCGGCTCCCAGCGCAGAGCTGGTCTCGCACAGCTTCCCCGTCCTCACCCGGGCGGGGGGTCGAAGCTGCAACCCCCAGCGCGGGGCACACGTGCGCGCAGGTACAGTGCCACCGGGGCGGGGTTAACCCTTTGCGGGGCGGGTTAGGACGGGTTCAAGCACGCGGGGGCGGCACGGGACGCCGGGCCCAGGCCTTCCCCCCCTCCCCCCTTTCCCGCCGATCTGTGAGGGAAAAAGGAAAGGGGAGGGGGGGAGGAAAGGAGGGAGGGAAAAGGAAAATGTCGGCGGACGAAACAATTAACCCGCCCGCTGCCGGCGCTATGTGCTTTTAAAGCGGCCGCAGCGCGGCGAAGCGCCCCCCCCCCCCCCAGACTCTTCCCCCGCCCTTCCCCCGGGGACGGGCTGAGGGAGGGCGGCGGGGCCCGCGGCCAGCCCTCACCCCGTGCAGCGCCACCGCGCCGCCGCCCCTCGCGCCCGGCCTAGCATTAACGGCGGAGGCGAATTCCCCTTTAAATCTCCCCGCCTTGCACCCCCCCCTCCCTCCTCAGGTCTCCCTCTTACCGGCTCGCCTCCTCGCCCTCCGCCTCCTCCCGCGAACGGGACTCCCAGCCCAGTCCCACAATGCACCGGGCGCGACGGGCTCCCTCAGCGCCGCCTGAATAGAAATGCCGCCGCCGCGGCCGCCGCCGGGCACGAAGGGGTTAAACACACACACACCCCCACCCCCCCGCCCCTCCCCTCCGGTTCCCGCCCCTCCCGCTCACCGGTGGCGCGCGCACCGCTCTGCCCCGTTCCCCATCAGCTCCAGCCAGCTTCTCCGCGCGTTCCCGCGTAGCGGCGGCGCGCCCCCCCCCCGGCACTGTGGGTTTATGGCGGCGCAAAACGCGTTTTTAAATGGGGTTTGAGCGCGGACCCGGTGTGTGACAAAGAGAGAAGGGGACGCGGTGGTGGTGGGCTCTGCGTGGAGAGCCCCCGCGCTCCCAGTGTTAACGTGTCCTCTGTGGGACTCGGTGGTGGGAGGTGGTGTCCTTCAGTAAGGAATGCGTTGGGTTTGGGAGGTTTTTGGGCGGGAAATTTCAGCCGGAGCTGAGGGGAGCCTGAGCTCTTCACGCAGGGTGCTGCATCCGTGTGGAATGTTACAGAAACTGGGCAAAAAGTTCCCTTTAACGTCATGAAATCAGGTACGTTGGAAAAGACCTTTAAGGTGGTCAAGTCCAACCGTTAACCCAAACACTGCCAAGCTGACCTCTAAACCATGTCACTGAGGGCCTCATGTACATGGCTTTGGGCGCTTCAGGGGACGGTGACTCCACCACTGCACTGGGTAGCCTGTTCCTGTGCTTGACAACCTTTGTGGTAAAGAAATTCTTAATATCCACTCTAAACCTGCCCTGGTGCAGCTTGAGGCCGTTTCCTCTTGTCCCATCCCTTGTTCCTTGGGAGCAGAGCCCAGCCCCTCCTGACTCCATCCTCCTCTCAGGCAGTTGTAGGGAGCGATGAGGTCCCCCCCGAGACTCCTCTTCTCCAGACTGAACCCCCCAGGTCCCTCAGCCGTTCCCCATCACACTTGTGCTCCAGGCCCTGCACCAGCTCCGTTGCCCTTCTCTGATATAGTTTGATCCATCTTGTGAACAAAAGATTGGCAAGAAGGACCCCAAGAGGGACAGGTTGACTTGATGGTGGGCAAAATTTGGCCAGTGTTCAATTTTTCTGGATGCAGAGACAGGAGCACAGAGCCAGAGGAGCCCTCAGGTGTTACAGAAATATAGAATCAAGTCCAGAGGAGGCCATGAGGATGATCAGGGGCTGGAGCACCTCCTGTATGAAGACAGGCTGAGAAAGTTGGGGCTGTTCAGCCTGGAGAAGAGAAGGCTGCGTGGAGACCTCATAGCAGCCTTCCAGTATCTGAAGGGGGCCTATAGGGATGCTGGGGAGGGACTCTTCATTAGGGACTGTAGTGACAGGACAAGGGGTAACGGGTTCAAACTGAAACAGGGGAAGTTTAGATTGGATATAAGGAAGAAGTTCTTTACTGTAAGGGTGGTGAGGCACTGGAATGGGTTGCCCAAGGAAGTTGTGAATGCTCCATCCCTGGTGGTATTCAAGGCCAGGTTGAGCAGAACCTTGGGTGACATGGTCTAGGCGAGGTGTCCTTACCCATGGCAGGGGTTTGGATCTGGATGATCTTGTGGTTCTTTCCAACCCAAGCCATTCTGTGACTCTATGATTTCAGAGTTACAGATAGCGTAAGGCCCGTTTTACATAGCTAATAGATAAAAAAGGCACGTTGCTTCTTGTAATTTGCAATTAATTACCTAATTAAATAATTGCCATTAATTCAAAGCCTGCCTTCTCTTTGAAAAACCCTGCTTAAAAACAAGTAGAAAGAGAAGAAATTAAAATGTTGCTTTTCTTACCAGATTTTAATTAGTCTTTTTAGTTCCAAGCAAACATAGCATCCCTGGCCTGTGGTGTAGAGGACCATAGACACATGGAAGCTCCCAGCACCTTTAGGAAGTCACTAATTATTTTTATAATTCATTGATTTTCAGGCTCTCTGTGTTGATTTCCTGAAGCATTTCAAGCTCAACACACAGGAGTTGTTTCTCCATGAGCAGCTGTGGGGCATTGGACTGATGGTTTTGACAGCAGAGATGAATCAAGGATGTGGTGCTGCAGTCCTGACCTAGGATTTGAGCTCTTCTTCAGTGCTTCTGCCTCCTCTCAGAGAGAGACAGGGCAGAAGATCTCGACATCTGATTGCCATTGATCCAAGCTGATTTGCTGAGTATTGGCTTTGTGTTGTAGAATCATAGAATAGTTAGGGTTGGGAATGACCTCAAGATCATGTCTGCATGCTCCTTGGCAGAGGATTTCAATCTGAAAAAAAACCCTTAAGTACCTTGAGAAGTGGTAATGGGATGCTCTGATCTTACATTTCTCCAGTATTTAGCCATTGCCTCTACCACCAGTGCCTCATTTAAAAAAAATAAAGCAGGGGGAGGTAAAAGCAGAAATGAGCATGACTGATATTTAAGCCCTGACTTACAGTTTTTTCCTTTCTGTTTTCTTTTTTTTTTTTTTTGGGGGGGGGGGGGGGAGAACGACGACGATGACGAGGGGCCTGGATCATGTTTTCATAGAATCACAGAATGGTTTGGGCTGAAAAGGACCTTAAGATCATCCAGTTCCAGCCCCCTGCCATGGGCAGGGACGCCTCACACTAGATCATGTCACCCAAGGCTCTTTCCAACCTGGCCTTGAACGCTGTCAGGGATGGGGCAGCCACAGCTTCTCTGGGCACCCTGTGCCAGCGCCTCAGCACCCTCACAGTAAAGAACTTCTTCCTTATATCTAAGCTGAACCTCCCCTGTTTCAGTTTGAACCCGCTCCCCCGTTGTCTTATCACTACAGTCCCTGATGAAGAGTCCCCCTCCAGCATCCCTGTAGGCCCTCTTCAGATACTGGAAGCTGCTATGAGGTCTCCACTCAGCCTTCTCTTCTCCAGGCTGAACAGCCCCGACTTTCTCAGCCTGTCTTCATACAGGAGGTAGTCCAGCCCCTGATCATCCTCATGGCCTCGTCTGGACTTGCTGCAACAGTTCCTTGTCCTCTTTATGTTGAGGACATCAGAGCTGCACACACTGCTGCAAGTGGGGGTCTCTCAAGAGGAGAGTAGACACTTACTTCCTGGAAATAAGCAGAAATTATAGGGGAATTATTCTAGGGGAAAAAATAATAAATTAATATTTTCAGGTGCTAACATGACTGAAAGAAAAGCCAAATACATGCAAATTCATGCCAAAGTAGTGAGGTCGGGTGTTGCTGCCTCATGTCCTGTGTCAGGTACAGGAGTGGGAGGGAGGTACCTGCCTTGCGGGAGCTGTGCCGGGGTCTGACCTTGTCTCTTCCCTTGATTCTGAGGTTAGGATGGCCACATCTGAAGACAGAAATGTGGGAAAGGGTCTCCACGAAGGAAAAGACATGCAGGGGTATCCATGCAGCCCATTAGTACCGGTATGGATGTGACCCTCTAGAGCTGAAACTAAACAAGACCAGAGTATGGAAGTGGGCACTGAGCATAACTGACTGCACTGGTTAATTAAAAGCATAGTTCTTGGCATGGGCCATGGGGAAGCATCCTCACGTAGATCTGCATATGTCCCCTGGTCCCTCCTGCCTGTGCTAGGCTCAGTCTCTGCAGGAAAGAAGGGGCAGGAAAGCAAAAATCGCCAAGAGGAGCAGCGAGCCACATCTCTGCTGCAGCTTTGGGTCGCTGTGGCTGCAACCAGCAGTCATGTACCACGTACTGCTGGGGCAGCATTGCTGGAATGGCTGCTGGAGGACGTGTGGGATCAGAAAGGGAATCCGGTGCATCCAGGGGAACATAGAACAGAATCATAGAATCATAGAATAGTTAGGGTTGGAAAGAACCTTAAGATCATCTAGTTCCAACCCCCCTGCCATGGGCAGGGACACCTCACACTAAACCATGTCACCCAAGGCTCTGTCCTACCTGGCCTTGAACACCGCCAGGGATGGAGCATTCACAGCTTCCCTGGGCAACCCATATAGTGCCTCACCACCCTTACAGTAAAGAACTTCTTCCTTATATCCAATCTAAACTTCCCCTGTTTAAGATTTAACCCATTACCCCTTGTCCTATCCCTACAGTCCCTAATGAAGAGTCCCTCTCCAGCATCCCTATAGGCCCCCTTCAGATACTGGAAGGCTGCTATGAGGTCTCCATGCAGCCTTCTCTTCTCCAGCCTGAACAGCCCCAACTTTCTCAGCCTGTCTTCATACAGGAGGTGCTCCAGTCCCCTGATCACCCTCGTGGCCCTTCTCTGGACTTGTTCCAACAGTTCCATGTCCTTTTTATGTTGAGGACACCACAACTGCACACAGTGCTGCAAGTGAGGTCTCACGAGAGCAGAGCAGAGGGGCAGGATCACCTCCTTCGACCTGCTGGTCATGTTCCTTTTGATGCAGCCCAGGATACAGTTGGCTTTCTGGGCTGCGAGCACACACTGAGGCTGGCTCATGTTCATTTTCTCATCGACCAACACCCCCAAGTCCTTCTCCGCAGGGCTGCTCTGAATCTCTTCTCTGCCCAACCTGTAGCTGTGCCTGGGATTGCTCCGACCCAGGTGCAGGACCTTGCACTTGGCATGGTTAAACTTCATGAGGTTGGCATCAGCCCACCTCACAAGCGTGTCAAGGTCCCTCTGGATGCCATTCCTTCCCTCCAGCGTATCAACCGAACCACACAGCTTGGTGTCATCGGCAAACTTGCTGAGGGCGCACTCAATCCCACTGTCCATGTCAGCGACAGAGATGTTGAACAAGACCGGTCCCAACACCGATCCCTGAGGGACATCACTCGTTACTGGTCTCCAGCCATTGACCACAACTCTTTGCGTGCAGCCATCCAGCCAGTTCTTTATCCACTGAGTGCTCCATCCATCAAATTGATGTCTCTCCAATTTAGAGACAAGGATGTCATGTGGGACAGTGTTGAACGCTTTGCACAAGTCCAGGTAGATGACATCAACTGCTCTACCCCTGTCCATCAGTTCTGTAGCCCCATCATAGAAGGCCACCAAATTGGTCAGGCAGTATTTCCCCTTAGTGAAGCCATGCTGGCTGTCACCAAGCACCTTGTTGATTTTCATGTGCCTTAGCATGCCTTCCGGGATGCTCCAAGATTTTGCCAGGCACAGAGGTGAGACTGACTGGTCTGTAACTCCCCGGGTCATCCATTTTACCCTTCTTGAAAATGGGGGTTATATTTCCCTTTTTCCAGTCATCAGGAACTTCACCTGACTGCCATGATTTCTCAAATATGAAGGTCTTCATCCTCACAGGTCCTGCATCTGCCTTCCAAGACTTGGGTGGTGTGGTCAGAGCCTTTGCCAGTGAAGACCGAGGTAAAGAAATTCAGAACCTCAGCCTTCTCCAAATCCAGGGTAGCCAGTTCTCCTGATAGCTTCCAGAGAGGGCCCACGTTGTCCCTAGTCTGTCTTTTATTCGCTATGTACCTACAGAATCCTTTCCTGTTATCCTTAACATCCCTAGCCAAGTTTAATTCTAACTGGGCCTTAGCTTTCCTAACCTGGTCCCTAGCTTCCCATACAACATCCCTGTACTCTTCCCAGGCCGACAGTCCTTGCTTCCACCTTTTGTAAGCCTCTTTTTTCCTTCAAATTTTCCTCAGGAGCCCCTTATCCATCCAAGGAGGTCTCCTGGCCCTCCTGCTGAACTTCCTTCTAGTTGGGATGCAATACTCCTGAGCTTGTAGCAGGTGATCCTTGAATATCAATCAACAGTCTTGGGCCCCCTGCCCTCTAGGGCTATATCCCATGGAACCTTCCTAAGCAGGTTCCTGAAGAGGCCAAAGTCTGCTCTCTTGAAGTCCAAGGCACTGAGCTTGCTGCACGCTCTTCTCACTGTCCTGAGGATCTCAAATTCGACCATCTCATGATTGGAGCGTCACATTTCCAACGAGCCCTTCCCTGTTGGTGAGCACGAGGTCAAGCATGGCACCTCTCCTTGTCGGCTCCTCTACTACTTGCAGAAGGAAGTTGTCTTCCACACAGTTGAGGAACATACTGGATTGCTTGTGCCAGGCCATAAAAAAAACATCCTTTTGATGCAGGATCATAAGCAGAACCCTAAAAGAGTAGTGATGGATCCAACAGCCCTGGGGAGAGCTGGCACTGCTGGAACCACCTGGTTTATCTGACATTTTCCTGGAGTTAAGTAATGGTTTTCTAGAGTTAGAAAATTCTCAAATGGCATCACTTTTTATTTTGGTTTTTTTTTTCTCTATTTTTTTCTTATTCCCAAGGGCTTTTGTCACCATCTGTGTGCAAAATCTCCAGCAGGAATTCTGTAATCTGGAGTGATTTGGTCTAATGTCATGAGAAGGGTCTGCTCTGCACACCTTAGGAAGTGCAAAGAGGAAAAAGACAAGAAGATGGAGCCCTCCTAATTTCTCAGTCTTATCAGAGCCACTGCCTCCTGTGCTGACATGAGGAACACAACCCATGTCCTTCACCTTTACAGGTGCAGGGCCTGTACTTCTTCAGTCTTTTTCCCTTGGATGACTCAGAGCATGGATTATTAGCAGCTCAGATTTCCTTGGCCAAAGTGCTTTGTTGCAATACATCCAGGTTAAATCTAAGCAGTGTTTCTGATCTGTGTAAGCTTTTGACTTGGTTCTGCGTCTTTGGCGTGTACAAAATACTCAACATTTGAACTCTCCCTTTTCTGTTTCTTAAATGTCAGCAGAAACTTTTGTGTTTAAACAAAACAATGCAGCCTCCCCCTGCAATGTTTGTAACCAAGGAGCTGTGGCACCACAAGAGCATGAGAAAATCTTGCTGATTAAAACCAGGGTAAGAACTGACAGCGAAAGTGATCTTTGTGTTTTTTCCTCATTGCAGGATTTACAATGAAGTGGCTGGTAAAATGGGAGCAGCTGGTTCAGCTCTGCTTGAATGCTGGATTTAATGCGCTGAAACTACTTCCACTGGTGTGTGTGGCTGGGCATGTGTTTTTGATGCAAAAGCTTTAACTTTGGTGTGATATTTCACATGTTAAAACACATCTCTCAGCATAGCTTCCCCCCCACCTCAAAATGCTTTGACAAAGCAAAGTAAGTTTGTGTTATTATCAGCTTCCCTTGCCTCATTTTTCTCTTCTTGCTTCTCATTAATACACAAGTGGTATTAAATAAATAATAATGATGCCAGTAGTGGCCTCTGCTGTGCCTCAGCGTTTGCTCCTTTTTGCTTCGAGGAGCAGATGTTCCCTGTCTTTGTTTTCTGTTGCCAAACGGGGACTTTGCCCCTTTAACCTTTGATAAGGTACTTTAATAGTCTCTGACGTGAGATTTTATCAAAAGCCTTGGCAAAAGCCACATAAATGATACCTGCCTCGCAGCTTGGATTAGATGTTTCCGTCGTGGTTTACAGCAGTTAAGGTAGGGCAGTTTCCTCTGTGTTTTTGCAGGGTCTATTTATTCAGTGCTCCCTTTGCCTGGGTGCCCTTTCCCCAGCCCTGGTGGCCTCAGGCTGTGCTGAGCTCCCTCACCGAGGTTAGCATCTACTATGGAGGGAACACCCATGAGAGGGTGTCTGCAGTTGTGGGTGCTGCTCCAGCACCAGCCCCTAACCCACCTGCACTGTGTACCGGTCCAATGAGGTGATGCTGCCTACAAATGGTCTATGGGGTCCAACTAGACTTGCTTGGACCTCATTTTCCAATGACTGCTGATGTTGGATGGGGAGGGTGGTGTGTACACAAATGCTGCTGGGGTATTGGTGCTTGTTCTCCTCTGTGGGCTGGGCCAGGGGCTGCTGTCTGCTTTTGCACCAGCAGTTAAATACCATTGTGCTTTAAAGCTGATCTGACCCTTCCTAGAGACACCCTCACAATGTCCGTCTCTTCCTCGTCCCTTTTGCAGTGTTTCCTACCTTGCTTCTGCACTCAGCCATCCCCAAAGCCCCAAGGGAAAGCCCACATCCCAGTTTCTATCTGCTTTTTTGCCCAGACATCCACATGGCTCGTAGGAACAGCCACCAGCTCTGGGCTGGGGCGGTGAGGGCTCTCCACGGGGTGGGCAGGCTGAGCTGTGCCTCATGTAGAAGTAAGCCTCCTCCATGAAGCCTTGTGAGCAGTTTGGGAAGGTGGTAATTCGTGCCCAAGTGCTCTCAATGCAGAGCTGCTCTTTGTTACTGCCCATTTGGTTACCACATGGGAAGCAAACCAGGCACATGGGGGTGGGCGATGCCCCTCTGCCACACTCCCTGCAGCGCTGCTGCTCACCCTACAATGAGCCACCTCCTTCCCCTCCAGCCCCATGCTGATGACATGTGCTTTGGTAGGCGAGCCTCATGCCTTGCATTGCCCACTAGCATGCTGCTTGTGTCCTTCACCCTTTGTAGGTCTTCTTTCTCCCAAGTCTCATCGCACCATGCTGAGCCTGGGCATTCCCCCATGCCAAAAAAGCTTTGGCAGAGACATGCCCTGAGGAGAGCTGCTTCTGCAACACAGATGGCACCAGCCCAACCCCATGATCACCATCAGGAGGCTGCTTTGCCCCATGCACATCCTGTGCTTTCCTGCACCAAGATCCTTTCCAAGGCTTGAGCCTATAAATAATCAAGGAGCCTCTCCTCCTGCATGGCTTTGTGAGCTGCTCCCTTCTTTGTTTCAGATAGGGCTTGCCATCCTGCCAGCCAGACCTGCAGCCACCCGATACAGGCTCCCTTGGGATAAGCCTTGACTTCCCACATTACAATCTGGAGCGATGGGTGCAGCCGAGCTGAGCCAGCTATCCTATTCCAGTTGCTGGCACTCGCTGGAACATCTGCCTCGCCTGCACTGTGCTTGTTGATGAAGCTGTGAGCAGCTCCCAGCGTGTTGTTTGGGAATATAAATTGAGTTCCTCCGAGCTGGAACCACCTGCTTCAGAAAATTTCTTTGGCAAGGAGTCTTCTTACTTACTCTTCATCCAGGATTTTTCTGCCTCCCACTGCTGCCAGCCTGACCTAGCAGCTGGGGGGGGTTGGTGCTGATGGGTGGGAGTTTAGGTGGACCCATGGGAGAAATGCTGTCCTGCTGCCAGAGCACAGCAGAAGGGAAACGTGCTGTTTAAACCATGTAATTGTAGAATCACAGAATGGGTTGGAAAGGACTTCTAAAGATTATCTAGTTTCAATCCTCTGCCATGGGCAGGGACACCTTCCACTAGCCCAGGTTGCTCCAAGCCCCATCCAACCTGGCCTTGAACACTGCCAGGGATGAGGCATCCACAGCTTCTCTGGGTGACCTGTTCCTATGTCCCACCACCCTCATTATTAAAAACTTATTTCTTATCTAATCCAAATAATCTATCCAATCATAATCTACCCTCTTTCATCTTAAAAGACCTCTCAGACCTTCCAGCAGGAATGGTGCAGAGGGGCTGGGGCTTCATCCAGAGGAGTTTGCCCAAGTCCCATCAAGATGCAGGTGGGATGTGCGCCACTTCACCACCACTGACGGCCTCAGCTTGGACTCCGTTTTGCTTTGGGTGCTTTGTTTTTTGAGGTTCCAGGCACTTGCTGATGCTGAACTGAGGTTGGTTGGATGTGGGAGCAAAGCAAGCAGCTCCCAGGGAGAAAAGCAACTGTTGAAGGGGCAAAACAACCTCAGCAACCCTGATTGCTTTCCCTGCTGGGAACCAGAGGGTGGTGATGAGTGCTGCTGCAGCTGTTTCCTTTTCCCCTCCACTGGGTGACAGACACATAGCCCTCCAGGTCTGTCCCTGCCTCTGCTCCTTCTTCTGCCCCAGGAGTATCCACTAATAAATGTCTAATACGGATCCATTTAACACGTCTGAATTATTGGTTGCTGAAGTAGAGCTGAATCCCACCCTGGGATCATGCAACCAGGCACCCAGAACTTGAGCTAACAGGGAATAGAGGTTTATACCCCAAATTCCTCCCTTGGGAAACAGGCACCATGCCAGCAAAGTGCTCTCAGGGCTGCGGGTGAGGTGCCCTGGAAGAGGCCACATGTTTCCGATGCAAGTGCTTGTCTCTGCAGTGATCACTGCTATACAATAGTGTATTTTTCCCATTGGAAAAGCAAAAACAAACCAAATCCCTGAGCAGGGGTTCAGTGGTTTGCTCTCCTTGAGGGGCTGAATGTGAGCTTGTTACCATTATAGTCTCACAGGGACCATCAGTGAAGCTGCCAGGAGGTGAAGTCTCTCTGGTGGGGCTGGATCTCCCACCATGCTGAGACATGTGGATGGATGGATGGATGGATGGATGGATGCATGGATGGATGGATGGATGGAGGAGGGCACTGGGGCTCCCTGCAGCCTCTGCACCCCCATATGCAGCCCTGCACTCTGTGGGCATGCCCGTGTCAGTGGGGAGTGCTGCAGTGCGGTGGTGCACATCCTCTCTAAGGGCTTTTTTTCCAGCATTTAGAAGAAAATAACCCACCAAAACACACAGGGAGAGCAATGATCACGCCATTAAATCTTCCCATTTATCCATCCCTTGCATCCCACTGCTTTCCCATCCCCTGCTGCAGCCAATTCCAAATGCTTTTCCCCAGGACTGGCACAAAATAAACTTGCCTTTGCAGGACCTCATGCTTGGGCAGCAGCATAAGCCCATGGACAGAGGCGAACGCCCAGGGGCAGCGTGGGTGCCCCTGCGGATGGATATCCCTCCAGGTGGAGTATTGTCCTATGCAGATGGGAAGGCAAAGGTGACTGCGGGCAGTGCCTGGGGGGTAAGCAGCAAAGCAAAACCCAGCAAACAGCCCCAGTGCCAAGCTGCTTTGATTTCCAGAAATGCAATTAACACCTGCACTGATGCAACTCCGTGCCTGAGAGCAAAGCAGCGGGAAAGGGCTGATCTTCCCAAATGCAAAGCATTGCCCCAAGCCCCATCCACCGCTTGCTCAAATGATGCCTGTGGAGTCCAAGGAGTCACTGCAGAGCCAAGTCTGAGCATTGTTTTTAACTCAGTTATTGCATTTAATCCAAGCTGTAGAGCCAAACCTTGCTATGACTAATGTTCTTAGAACTATTTGTGTCTATGGTGTAACTGGTGGGTCAGGGAATAGATGTGGGCTCCAAATAAATGGGTTCTCTGCCCTTTTAGGGACATTGATTTAATTTAGGTGGTTCTGCAAAACGTGCTGTGGAAGTTGGAGAGTGAAGATCAGCTGTGGGATGGGTGGATTGCAGCAAAGAAACATAGGGGGCTGCTGGCAGGTCTGCTTGTGCCACCTAAACTGCCACCAACCACCACTGAAATTGCCACCAGACATCAGCCTCATGTGCACCTCCTGATACTCGGCCGATAGCACCAGAGACAGAGCAAACCAACCCAATCTTACCAGTTTGGACAAAGACTATAAGCACTGGCATGGCTCTTGCTTATAGAATCACAGAATGGTTTGGGTTGGAAAGGACCTTTAAATCTCATCTAGTCCAACAGGGACATCTTCAAAGAGATGAGGTTGCTCAGAGCCCGGTCCAACATGGCCTTGAATGTTTCAAGTGATGGGGCATCTACCAACTCCTTGGGCAACCCTCATCATAGAACATTAATTCCTAAATCTAGTCTATCATGGCCATGCCCATGATGATCTTGGTGGTGCATAACACAGGCGGGTCAGGGTGGTCCTGCACAACTGGTGGTGCTGTCCTGTACTGCATCCCCAGCATCCCACCCAGGGGCACCATTGGCATGACTGGGATGGGCACGGTTTGCTCCAAGTGACTCCCCACTGCCCACAGACCCTGCAGTGCTCACAACAGAGTCCAAATATCCTTGTTGTGTGAGCTGACTGGTATTAGAAGCAAAGATAATACTTTAGAGTTGATCTCCTTGAACGGGCAACAATCTTCCGGTGAGTTCTAGACCGAGGAGGCAGAGTTCAGGGTAGGAAATTGCTTTTAAATTCAGCCATTTAAGATATCAGTATTAGTTTTGCTTCTAAAACTTCCCGAGTGTGAGCAAGAATCACCTCGGCCACCCACATCTGCTAAATATTTAGTCATTTTTAACAAGTTAAACAAAGCCCTTTGATTGGATTTATGCTAATGGCTCCTCCGTAGGCATTTCTGATTCATTTCCATTTCATTTTCAAATTGCCTGTGTACACTGCTGATTCTCACCAACACCATTAGCAGATAAAAGGAACACGTAACGGGTCACAGGCGCCACAAGATGGCAATAGTTG